TGCTCAGAGCTACCCTTCACACTTGTGGAAGTCATGAAAACAAACTATGATAGTGGATCTGGTTCACTACCTAGTGCCCTGACAGTTCACATCACTAATATCTCACGTTAGTCATATTACTCACAAAGAAACTCAAAAGGCTTTCACTACACCTTGCTAAAATACATTTGTTTTAACTTGAAATTGATAAGAAATATTGCTATTGCATATTAAAATATGCTCAAAGTAATAATAAATATGAATAACAACAACAATTAAAACATTTTAGAAAAAACACAAATGAACTTTTCTGCCACAAATCATAAATATCAAAATCAAACAGAAAACACATACCGTATTGACCCGAATATAAGACGATATTTTTTTCTTGGAAATACATCTGAAAAAAAAAAAAAAAAAATTCATAGGGCCATGATTGCGGAGTATTTTAGCAAATCTCTGACCTTAGAACCTTTAGCGCAGACTAAAATAAAGCCTGTGCTTATTGCTACACTGCACTGACATTATTAAAATGCTAGAGGCAGCTGTCTTGGACTAGCTTACACACACTCTTCTCAATTTAATTTAATGGGTAGGGCAAGAACACTGGGCTAACTAAAGTGGTTAACATCTTTGTTCAAATTATACTGTAAGCAATTACAATATATTGGTGCATCTCCAAGGATAAAAGGACAGTAAGATTACTCAATGTTTTAAAAGAAATGGTATATTTTAACAAGGCAGCATTTTTTTGTGTGTTAATAAATACATTTAAAACAGTTCTACTGTGCAATATTATTTTAGTTTAAAATAACTTTTATTTGAATATAAAACGCAATTTATTCCCATGATGGCAAAGCTGAATTTTTAAGTCTTTACTACAGTCTTCAGTGTCACAAGATCCCTCAGAAATCATTCTAAGCCGATTTGGTGCTCAAGAAACATTTATTTCTATCAGTATTAAAAGCTTAATATTTGTGTGGAAACCATGATTCCTTGATAAATGGTTGAAAAGAACAGCATTTATTTGAAACCGAAATCTTTTGTAACATTAGAAATTCTTTACTGTCACTTTTGATCAATTTAGTTCAAAAGTCTTACTGGCTGCAAACTTTTGAATAGAACATATTTTTTTCTAGACATGGCATTTGGAGATGCAACTACAACAATCCAAGTTCAACCTATTACGCTCAGTTCCTTATTTACCAACCGAGAAAAAAAGGGGAGTGGAGCTGACCTGATTGACAAGCCTCGTCCTCTGCTCTCCACACCACTGTGGCAGGGGATACTAATACAGACACACACACACACACACACACACACACAAACAAAAACCCCCACAATGGTCAAATTTCTCTGACAGTTTTAAAAAAAAACTAATACATCCAGAAAACAAAGTGTGCATGAACGCAAATGCATCACTAAAGATATCCGTCATACCATGTGCGTATGCGTGACTGTACCTGGTATGCATATGTGGTCTGTGCATAGTTCATGGGCACCTGTGGGACAATAAATCCTGGAGGACTGGAGTACGTGTAAGGCTATGAAGAGACAGGCATGCAGGAAAAACGGATGAAAATACTGATATTCTACAATCTTTGGAATGTGCAAAATTTTAACTCCTTCACATGATGTTAATATGCAGTGTGGCAGGGTTTGTATGAACATTGTAGTTAGTTACCTGCATGTATTGATTCCCTCCATTGAAGACAGGTGAGGGCGGGGCCAGGCCTGGGGGACAGCAGCTGCAGTACACATACGGGCTGGGGCTTATCCACTGTGATGGACCAATCATTGGAGATGACACAGAACCTGGAAATACGATTCCAACACATTTTAACTAATGAAATTACATGACTTTTTACATTGTTAAGATAACAAGTCATTTAAAAAGATCTGAGCATTTCCAAAAGTGCCCACTACAAATCCTTGAAATTAAAACAAATTAAAAGCACAACTGCCTCCAATAAGATTAAAAACTTGTTCAATATAGCAATTCCATGACTTTTGTACAAGACAGACCAAACAGACAGTGAAGTGCAAGGACTCACGAGAATTTCGCTCTTTCATGATGGCAGGTCCCAGTTTGAGTTTTTTCCCTTTAAAACTGATCGGCTGCTGTAGAAGAATTGAAGTAGTACAAGACGTTAAGATGCCCTCATAACATCAACACCAAGACAAAAAAGAGAGAAGACTGTCACAGCACAGACAAGTAAAAATGACCTCCTTACATCAACGATAGTCTGGATATCAACGTCCTCGCTGAAATAAACAAAACCATACCTGTGAGAAAGAAGATGTACAACTAATCAGAGGAGGCAGGTAAAGACATTTTTTAAAGCTGTTTCCAAGAAATATCCTATAAAAGGATAGTTTACACCACAAATGACAAATCTGTCATCATTTACTCATCTACACGTTGTTCCAAAATTACTTTGGAATGGAATGACAGTAAATGACAAAATAAGCATTTTCGGACACTTGATATATGCTATATATTAGTATATACAATATAATACATACAACATACTTTGAATGACCTATTAGAAAACAACTCTTAAACAACGGTTTAAGCTTGTTGGCTGGTCTTAGCTGGTATCCAAGCCTTGTCAGATGATTTAGCAGGCTGGTTTTTGAAGGATTTTAAACACTATGTAGTCAGGCTAACTACATCCAACTTAAACCAAGACCAGCATAGACTGATTTGAAATGATTATTCATTTTTTTCCCCAGCAGGGCAAATTACAACTCTCACTCACCCTTTGCATATTCCTCCTCGATAAGTGATGATTTTCACTTCTTTTACAGACCCATACTTGGCAAAGAACTCTCTGATCTCGTTCTCATCCACCTGATGGAAAAAGTGCCAGTTTGGAGAGTAGATACACTATATGGACAAAAGTAATGGGACACCCCCTTCTAATGAACAGGTTTGACTACTTTAGTCATTTTCATGAGTACAAATCTTAATGTTTAAGCATATAATGATACTCATCACCAAACACCAATGACTTGTACATATGGGTACAGTCATTTTAGACACTTCCAAAACTGTTGCAACGGAGATGGAAATAACATTTTTAAACACATGAATTATGTTTCCAGCTTTGTTGCCACAGTTTTGGAAGTGCCTTTTTGTTTTAAAGAAGGGGGTGTCCCAATACTTTTGTCCATATAGTATATGTACAAGTCATTGGTGTTTGGTGATGAGTTTTTGGCTCAAGGTCTGCATTTAAAGTCACACCAGAGGTGTTCAGCTGGGATCAGGGCTTGGCTTTCTGCAGACCAGTCAAGTTCTTCCACACTGACTGAATCAATCATTTATTTTTGAACCTTGCCTTATACACTTGCCATGTTAGAATAGAAAAGGGTCCTGTTCAAACTGTTGCTATAAAATTAGAAGCACACAGTTCCCAAGAATATCATTATATGCTTAAACATTAAGATTTGTACTCATGGAAATCACTAAAGTAGTCAAACCTGTTAATTAGAAGGGGGTGTCCCAATATTTTTTGCCAAAATATAGTGTAGAAACTATGTATTGTAGGTAGAGTTTAGAATTGTACTGCACCAGTTTGAACATGTAACGTTAAAGGGGTCATATGATGCGATTTCAAGTTTTCCTTTCTAGCCACAAAAATGGTCAGCGTCATTAACGTTACCTTCATGTCAATCCCGCCGACGAACAGTGTGTTGGGCGTCATCTTGCCCTCAGGTAAAATATAACCGTTAGACAACTTCAGAGAGGACGGAAAGCCCTGACGGTGCTTCTGGATATCCTGTATGTATTTCACAACATTTTCGGCTTTATATCAACACACATTATTAACAAGACAATGAACACGTAGCATGTACAATATAGGCCCTCAAAAACCAATCAACAGCCACACATTTGAGGTTCAAAATACGATTACCTGTGAATATAACCCACATATGAGGCACAGGGGTAACTTAACGCCCTGATACATCTTAGATTTGAAGTAAGGCCACACGTTTTGTTACGTATTCCCTAAAAATACACCCCTAAGTCAGCCGAAATACTAAATGAAGAAGTTTCAAATTGCTCGACACACACAAAGGCCGAAACCGGATCGATCTCCAACACGATCTTTCGTGTTTCTTCATTAAGCAATCTGGGCATTTACGCTAAAATGAGTTAATTGGACGAACATTTGTGCTATCCTGACAGATGTACATCATCTAATGGCCGACGGTCTGATTTCCTCTGATGGCGAGTTTGCCGCGCGAACTTTTTACAGCAATGAACTTGATATTAATAACAGCGAACTTTATAGATGGTGCCTGAGAGATTAAGTTATCAAATACTGTTACTACTTTTGTTACTTACCATATCTAAAACAATTAAAATGGCAAAATAAGTTAATGAAGTGCGTGGCTCGTTGGGTCTGTGCCTCTGGCTGGAGGAGTTGCATTAAAGCGCCACACCCATTCTCAGTCCTAATTGGAAAATAAATACCAAAATAAGGCGAATTTTAAAGTTATTAATACCGTGAATAACATTCATATTTTACTCGTGAATCGGTCAGAGCTCAAACATTATACATTGTAATTATTTCTAAAATAAGATGACAGATTTGGTAGTCTAGAAGTATCCATTTAACGTAACGCACGTAAGTTACACCAGGTACTCGATGACATTAAAAACATACTGCGAAATTTATAACTTTTTAAATGCAAAACAAATCAAATTTATTTAAATGAGGAAATGTAAAAGTCTGAATTTGACGATCAATTTGATGAAATGCTAGTTAATTTAGTGTTGAGGAGGAGACAATCTTGCTATAGCAATAACTGACCGCTAGATATCGCGTTTGAAAATCATGAGCTACATATTTGGACTGAATTTTAGGTTATGTGCCTCAAAAACAACTCACCTACTGTCTACTGGTTGACTATATTTAGGTAGTATGAGGAAAATTATCATCTCCACAGAAAAGGGAAATAATTGACTAAAAATAACACCAGGGTATAAGGAAAGTGTAGTATGCACAAAGCTTTGGATTAGACAAGAGTAATGCTTTTTATTCATCCAGAGTTAATAGGATATCAGTATTAGAAACATCCCTTGTGTCATGTGCAAAATAATACACAGTTACCACGGGAACCAAGACAAAATGAGGCTACTGACACCAGAGAAATACTATAACATAAAAGTTTCACATATCATTGAATTAAAAATGACAAATATGAAAAGAAAAAAAAAATCCATAATTTAACAAATGACTATGTTTTGGTCTATTAACTAAAATCTTAAAAAAGAAAATACAGACAAAAATGAATAACTGTTCAGGCACTGGTTCATGGAAAATCAGTAAAGATGAGTGAGTGAATGAGAGCGACACGGTCCATATTAATACTAAAGCTCTCTACTTCTAGATTGAGCACCTGTCAATGTCCCGCATTTATCACACAACAATTAGTACTCCAAAAAAAAGGACAAAGACAGAGATAGAGGGAGAACTGTAGCAAATATAGCTTTTATCTGAGGCAGAGTGTGTTAAATGTATTTCACAGGATTATTGATTTAGGAGAAAACAAATATAGGTTTTCCACATAAACGTCAAGGTGATGTCCACAACTTTCAGCCGTAAGGGCATTTTCAAAGAAAATTACAGAATGGAGAATCTCATTTGAGTTGAGGCTGCTTTTTTATGGCTTTGGATACTACATTTAGGTAACGGAGCAAAGGATCCATGGTATACATGGTATAGGGCCTTATATTTGGGGAAAAAAGAAAAAAAAAACGTTTGAATTAAGATTGTACGTAAATACACAGCCAGAGGTCTAGGAATTAAGAAACAAGATGTGGTTTAGGGATTCAGTTACGGGGCATGGGGCACATGAGGCAATCAGCCTGAGTTCATATGTGCAAACATCCAGCAGAGTTTCTTAAGTGTTGAAGATGGGTCCAGTCATATTTAAGGGGAATCCGGATTCAAAGGTCAGTAGGATTAACAATAGTGAAATCAGAGTCCTTGCTGTGAGTGCTGCCGTCATCTGGACTGGAGGACCCAGATGTGGTTCCCATCAGAGGGTCTTGAAAATCCACCTTGTTTAGGCCTCGTACGTGCTTAAAGAGTGGAGCTGTGGTGGTTATGCTTTGCTCCTCACTCTCAGATGGCTCACCATCCTGCAAGACCAAGATGTAGTCGTCCCAGTTTCTCCCTTCAGTGGCCTAAGATACAAAGTAAATAAAAACTGTGTATGAATTTGCTGTATTTAAGATTGTAAGTTTGGGTGAATTGCATTATCATTTGGGGGCTTTATTTGGCAGATATCGATAAATGCAATCAATTTATCAGCATATTGTGTAATTCAAACCAGTGCTAAAATTTAAATAAAACTGTTAAAATAAACAAAAGACTACTGAAATAAAACTGAAATGAAATATAAATATTAGATGAAAAACAAATTAGAAAGGCTGCCTTGGCAACTTAACTAACTGAACTGAATTAAAAATAAAGTTTAAATATGATAAAATGATTAAAATAATGAAAATATAAAAATAAAAGCTAATTTAAAATATTCATAAATACTATAATAGTATATTTATAATACTAAAACAAAATTATTTTTCATTAATTGACAGCCCAAAAGCTAACCCCATACAAATCCCATTTTGCATAAAGTAAATTAAGACATTATTCATTATTATTATGTATTATTATTCCATAACAATTAAGGAATTTTCCCACATCTCATTCTGTAACACAAATGAAATAAACAAAAAGTATTAATGGATCATTTGTTGTACTACCCTTTAATTTATTTGATTAAAAAGTTTTTTTTTTTTAACGAAATGATCAAAATGCATCTTGTACGGTCATAAAAAAAATTAACTTAACTTCCTCCAATATATATATAAAAAGAGAAAACTTTAATTCTGGCGTACTGAAGTAAAACCTATAAATAAATTTATAGAAAGTGTACTAGCTCACACGGAAAAAGTTGTGTAATCCTCTCTAACCTGTGGCTCTGGTATTGTGGTGATATTCTCAGTTGTCAAGACCTTCTCCTCCTCTTCTTTCTCAGCTACCATGTCTCCTTCCTGGTGGTTGTTGTGCTGTGGAGCTTTTTGTTGTATGATAGTAGAATCAGCTGTGTCTTCAGACAAATGGTCTGGATCACTCTGGTCCTTTAGTGTGCTATACTGGCTAGAGCAGTAGTGATCATCTGCTATGGTGATCTCCTCATTTTCCTCTGACTCCAGCTGGCTCTGGTTGAATCGGAGAGCCCCCTTCAGGATGTCCTTAACCTGGGGACAATATGGACAAAATTTGATTTAATTTAATATTAGAGCTAACAGATGTCTAATATATTTTGTATCACCCTGAATGGGTCTGTGTACTAATTACATGGGTACTTACCAATAAACAAATAAATGAACATAATAAAAATGTATTTAATTTATTTTAGCAAAGCAGAGACCTGATTCATACCTGTTTTAGTCCAGCAAGTGACACCAGAACCTCATCTTCCTTCTCCAGATGCTCCTGCAGTATCACATCTTGAATTTTGCCTGTCCATCAATCAAAGCACAATCATTATGATTCCATCACCAGCCTTTGTTTAGTGCAAAGACAACTGATGGCTCACTGACTCACCTATGTGCATGTTCATCATCTTGGCACAATATTTACTCATGGCCTCTAGGTCATTAATCTGACCCTGTAAGAACGACACCTGGACCTCCAGCTCATCCTGTGTGTAAAAATACATATACATAAATTAGCATACATATAGGACTTATTAAATACAACAAAATCAGGAGCTAGTACATGATATTCTAGTAATTCATATGCTTTATGAAAATAAAAAAATAGACACAAAATCAGAGTCTGGGAATGCAAATGGTACAGTTGAAAATAAACATGCTTACTGCATCCTTCTTGTTTATAGTTTTACTGTGTGACCGCGAGCGACTGATATTAAAGAAAGAGTCTTTCTTTGTGGCAGAGAGGGGAGGAGATGATGTGCTGGAGTCTTGGCCCCTGGACACCGGCAGAGGAGGGGAAGACATTGCATGATCCCGCCCACCAGACAAACTCTCAGTGCTGGGGGAGGAGCTAACCATATTGGAGGTGTGGCCTGTAAGGTAGACATTAAAAGAGCAGTCACAAAAATTCATCTCAGACAGCAACATCAAATGTAACAGAACAATTTCAACAAAACATATAGTAAGCTACATAAATAGCACAAAGAGTTGGAGACAATCACACAGCATGCAGTAAATCAACCATATGTAAAAAAAAAACATGACCTTAAAAACAGCAGGATCTCACTTGTACTATGAAGATGACTTATAAGGCATATTCACAGAAAGTTCAGAGAATATTTACATTATCATCCAAAAGTCTGGGCTCAGTAAGATTTTCTTAAAGAAATGAATACTTTTAATGACTTCTACTTTTTTCAACAAGTATGGATTAATTTGATCAAAAGTGACAGTAAAAAGATTTAAAATAGTATAAAATAGTGTTTTTAAACTTTCTATTCATCAAAGAGAGCTGAATACAAATGTATCACGATTTCCACAAAAATATTAATAGCACAACTGTTTTCAACACTGATAGTAATAATGGTTCTTGAACACCAAATCAGAAAGGTTTCTGAAGGACCACGTGACACTGAAGACTGGAGTAATGGCTGCTGAAAATTCAGCTTTGCCATTACAGAAATAAATGACATTTTCAGATATTTTAAATTCTAATACTATTTCACAATAGTACTGTTTTTACTGAATTTTTCAAACAAAGGCAGTCTTGGTGAACATAAGAGACTTCTTTCAAAAACAAAAAAAATCCTACTGACCCCAAACTTTTAAACGGTAGTTAATTATTTTATTACATAATTAATTTAGAATAGCCTAATGTAATACAAATACAGAATTTTCTTTTTGGTTAAACTTACTGAAAAAAACCTGGTGACAAAAAGCAGCATGACTCATTATGAAATACACGATTACACCAAGTTTATTTGAACACAGACACGCATGCATGGATTGTACAGCAGACACGTCACAGTAAAAGCATAAAAAAAATACAGGATCAAATAAAATGCATTTATACAGCACACATGCACGCTCTGGTGCTGATGATGTTGTCATGGTAGCAGTTACCTGGGGTATCAGAGTGAATCTGGGCAGGGAGAGATATCTGGGAGGCTCCACCAGAACCTACATCTAACAGACAGCAGAGTAAGGCTACAGCACACACCTATTCTGTCACAGGTTACATTAACACAATCCATAAGCGTACAGGGTCGAAAAGGTGTGCGTATGCGAGTGCTCACCTTTGCTGAGGTGCACTGGCAGACTTTCAGACTTCAACAACCGGTGCTGATGGTGCGTTTGCGGGAACGGCTGCGATTTCATCTGCGTGTTTGAGGGGGCGGTGCATGATGGAGGCTCGGCCAATGGGCGTGGCTCAGGAGCTTGAGGGGGAGGAGCTGAAATCACCTCATTGTTAATTGGCGAGATGCCGCTGGAGCCGCCTCCCATTGGTGCGATGAGCTTCCGGCCGAAATTAAGAAGAGAACTGGATACTTTATTAATGTTGAGAGGTGCTGCTTTAGTGCTGGCCCTGGAGAAAAAGAAAAAAATATAATATTATAAATGTACAGTGCATATATGTTTAATACATTTTGAATAATTATATTATTAATCCTTAGATTAATGCTTAATTTCTGCTTTAAAAAAGAGTGGCATCAAATGTATATATATATATATATATATATAAAAAAGGTAATGCACAAAAATACAAGATACCGAGTCTTGTTGACCAAGTCGGCCCCACGGGTTTTGTAGTAATCAAGGTTTTGCTGGAACTGGTAGTTTACCGGTCTTGGATTATTCTAAAGTTATATAAAAAGACAAATGACAAAAATAGCACAAAAAGAGCAAATAGTAAGTACATAATCAATTCCAGAATAACTAATAATAATAATAATAATCTTATATATAGATTATAACAATTATATTATTATGACTCCAATTACATTACTAAATACTACATTTAATAAATATTCTTATATTATAATTATAAATATACATTATAAATAAATATATATTTTTAAAAATACATTTCATAAAATAAATGATATTTGTATTTTTTTTTTGTTGTATATTTACTTTTTTAATAATATTAAAAGTGAAAATGTGCATGACAGTACCTTAGGGTCTCTGAGAAAGAGTGCTTTCAGCAGCAGAGAGTGGATGTCTCCGATAGGAGGATAGTGCATCAGGAGCCCGAGACATGTCTGGAAGTTACTAGCGATCACTATGATATGAAAAACACAGGAACGATAGTTACTGCATATTCAAATAAACTGATAACGTTCTTTTAGAGCTCTTTGTAAAGGTACATGTTCAGTGCCAGCAGGCATAAGCCAACTAATCTGCATACCATTACTTGCTGTGTTTGGATTGGTTATGTAGGTGTTAGTGATGCGATTTGACTAGACACACTATTGACATACTGTTTGTGGGTTTATATTGCTTGATATCTATAGAGCTACAAGGTGAACACTCAAAGTGCATTTAGGCCTTAAGAAGTCTATATCTTGTGTTATGAATGAAGCACAGATGAGAGAATTGAACTCACATGCATCTCTGATGTACAGAAGCATAGCGACAAACACGTAATCAACCAGGTCCAAAGTGATGCTGTCTGCGAAAAGAGCATCCCAGACCACCAACAGATCCTGCAGGGGAAACTCCCGACCAAACAGCAGTCGAACCCAACGACTGCCCACAAACACACAGAGAATTCATGAATGATGGGGGAAAAGGTGACAAATTTATATATATATAAAAAAAAAAAAACACTTATGTTTTAACATATCTTTAATCCTACGTGGTTGGTTTATATTCAACACGTAGAAATGACAAGAAAAAATGCTTAAATAATAATATATATTTAAAAATATACCATAATATTATATTAAATTAGTATAAAAATAGTAATATAGTTCATTCATACTCACATGCCATAAATCTGGGGAGCTATTTCTAGTCTGTTGAGGTGCATGTACAGCTCAATGTCATGCTTCTTTACTAGCTGGTCCTGAATTCGGTTGACTTTGGTCACAATGGCCACAGAAGGGCCTGAGTCCTGTGGTCTCGCAAAGGGGATGCTGGTTAACATCTCTTCTTTGCCCTGAAAGATTTACACATAAGTAATCTTGACAAGATTGAAGTTTGAATTTGACACTAACAAAATATCAATGCAGTAGATATATCAAGATACATAACCAGTGGCGTAACTTTGCTTTGAAAAGTGGTGGGGACACCGCGCAACTCGTTTTGCTAGTTTTTTATTTAATAACCTAATTTACTTGGGGACTGGGTTTAGAGTCGGGCAAACTTAATTTTGGCATTTCAAAAATACATCGATGTACCAGGGGCGGCGCCAGAGAATTTTGAACGCAGGTGCTGAGGGGGTGCTAGATAATTAACAGAAGGAGCTGGGCAATTCAGGGCTCCAGACTCATTCTTCGCACTGGTCGCTCTTTTGCGATTAACTTTCTCAGTTGGTTGCACGAGCACGGTATTTTTTTATTTTTTTGCACTACAACCAGGGCCGCATTAACCATTGGGCTAGACGGGGCTGAAGCCCCGGGGCCCGAGCAAGGAGGGGGCCCGTAATGTAAGCTTGTAATTTAAACGCATTTAAGCGTTGTGGTTTAAAAATGAATTTAACTGTTCAGGGACATTAAGCAGTGGGGCAGAATTAATTTTGGCAAATGCGCGCGTTAAGACGGTTTCTGATACGTGCGGAGCGCACTTGCTCCTACAGCGCCTGACTAAACTAAGAGTTATTTTTTGCGTCATGGGGGCACAGAAATTGTTTGGTTACCAGTATTGTTCCAAATATATACGTATAGTGTTTGTAGGTCTATTTCTTTGTTCTATTGTAATTCATGACTGTTTACTTGTCTTCAGTAAGTTTGTTTTTACGTAGGCTATAGTATTTTTTATTTATTTTATTTTGAGATATTGGAATTGGTAACAATAATTATGAAATTGCAATGCATCAAAAATTTTGATTGGATAAAAATCCTATTTTAAGCTATATATATCATTATTGTGATGGGGGGCCCTGCAGTAAGCCAGTGAGGTCTTAATGCGGCCCTGGCTACAACATGCTGTTAATCAATGCATGCTGATGAACTTTTATCATAGTTTATAGTTATATGGAAACGAAAGTAGTTAACATTCAACCCGTTCTTTTTCATCAGTAGTATTATTTGTGATTTGAATTTTGTGAACGGGAGTTCCTCTTTTGCCATGTTATAAGCCGGGCTTTAAATGCTTTCACTTTCGATTTAACGATCTTGTCAGGTTTTACAATAAAACATAATTGTCTGTTTAGCTTACATCTATACACCTTTCACCTTTTAAGACAAAAAAAAAAGAGGTAAACAGCAAAGATAAGCTTTTCAAAATGAAAACAAAACAAAAAGAAAAGTAAAACTAAACTTTCTGCCGGTTGACAGTGCTTGCATGTTTTTTGTTTTTTTTTCCCCACAAGAATACCAACATGTTCACCTTCTCTGGTTTAAGAAGCGGTCTTTTACTTTACTTAAGTGTGAAAACCATCAATATTCGCTCATTTTTGCTGAGCGCACCTTCTGCAATTAATAGTAAATATAACCAAAACAGGTTATTATAATTTGTATATGAATAATAAAATAAATATAAGGAAAACTAGCCCACTCGATTTTGTAATATTCTTTAATTTTGTAGTCCGTATGAAAAGGTGCATTTCTATTAAAGGCACGTCCATGTGGAGATGGCGAGTCAGCGTCGGCATTCGGCAACCTCATCTTTGCACCCGACTCAGAAAGCACTAGTTTATTAATAAATAATTAAAATGTCTTATTTTCCCCCGACACGTTCATAATCACTTTGCCGGTGCTTTGAGGCAATTGATTTATGCGCGAGCTTGAGCACGGAATAGGCTCTAGCCTAATACGTCTGCCTATAGCCTATATTGAAGTATGGCGCTTATAAATTATATATTTAATAATTAATATATTATTATATTAATCAATTTAATATAACGTGCGACTAGTTGACTAGAAAAATCTTTAGTAGAGGGCAGGCCTACTTAGCACAAGGAAGCTCTCCATTTTTAAAATACAATGCTATAGCCTAATGACATTACGAAAAGTGCGACAGCTGCAAATCACGTCGTTATTGCACTGCACGAGTTATGCATGCGTAAGGAGTCAAATGTTTTTTTTTTGTTTGCTTTTTTTATCACCCTAATTAGATTATGAAGAATGATTTGTTGATCTCGTTTTCCCTTTAATACATACCTTCCGCAATATATTTTTCAATTACTTTCAAAAAGTGGTAGGGACAATATCGACCCTGGCAAAAAGTGGTGGGGACATGTCCCACCCGTCCCACCCGCAAATTACGCCTATGTACATAACAATATCAAGTTATACATAAAATCATTCCTGGTACCTTTCTGACCTCCCGTTCAAAACTGCTGAACCAGGGTTCTGCTGTCTCCATGAGCAGTGAAAACATGGCACTATGGGAGAATTGACGAACAAAAAGACAGACTGAGCAAAGTGTGTTTAGCAACTATATGCATTTAAATAGAGACACGACGATTTGGTTTAAGATTTGTTATGATAACGTGACATTTACTCACTAAGCGTCATGCTCATGGAATTTAGGATCCAGAAGGACTTTCATCTCTTCACTGCAAATGATAAAAGACACAATTTACATAAATATATAAAGAAGAACTGAAAATTCCATTAATAATGATTCAAAACACTACACAGAACAAATATAAACTTTAATTTGAGCAAGTCTTCAGACGGTCTTGTCTGTGTGGTAAATAGGTCAGACCTGGGATTGGCCGTCTCACTGGCATGTTGAAACGCCTGGTGATCACAACTGAGAACAAACACTATAGGGGCCAGTAACTCATGCATGCCCTGTAGAAAGATTGAGAGGGAGGGATGAAGAGGCAAAAAAATCAAGGATAATGTAGAGAGATGAATGCTTTTGGGAAAATTATTATTAGATACATCTGAGCCAGTCTGACAGGTTATGTTGTGGTGTGGCAGTATTTGTCACAATCATTAATCATTAAGTGTTTATAAACCTGCTTATAGAGTAGCCGTTCGTTCTCTCGTGCGTAGCAGAAGAGAATATCAGTCAGCTTTGTCCTGACATCCTCTTCCTGGAAGTACAGCATCTCTGGAAACCTGCAGCCAGTCAAGGAGTAACAGACGTATAATATAATATAATATAATATAATAATACAACAGTATCCAAATTAAATTCTATTATGTATGAAAAAAACAAAAAACAAATAAAAAGATACACTACCATTCAAAAGTTTGGGGTCAGTAAGATGTTTTATTATTTTTAAATAAATTAACCCTTTTATTCAGCAAAGACACATTAAATTTATTAAAAGTGATAGTAAAGACATCGACATTGTTGCAAAAAAATAAAAAATAATAATAATAATCTATTTCAAATAAATGCTGTTCTTTTGTACTTTCTATTCATCAAAGAATCCTGAAAAGATGCATCACAGTTTCTGCAAAAATATTAAGGAGCACAGCTGTTTTCAACATTGATTAGAGTTTCTTGAGCACCGAATCAGCATATTAGACTGATTTCTTAAGGATCATGTGAAACCGAAGACTGAATGGATGGTAGTGTATAGGGCTGTCAAAATGACTGAAAAACGAAATTCGAATTTTCCACTTAAATATTATCAAAATTCGAATTATATTCGAATTTAAAAGGAATAATTTCAGTTAGGGGGAAAAAAGCTTTTGGCTTCTCTCCTGAGGCCACAAGAGGGCGCATCAAGCAAATGGATTTAAAAAAAAAAATTCGACGAATATTCGAAATTCGACTTTTTTTTTGACAGCCCTAGTAGTGTATCTGTACAGGTAGTTCACACACTTACGTTCGTAAAACATCTTGTTTGATCATGCCCCTGAGCTCCTTATCCTGAAAGAACTTATTCCATAGACTCTAAAGAGAGACAGAGGAGAAAAAAAAGATGTCAATCAAACAGTAATAGACAGATCCAGCCATTCTTATGGTTTTACTGCATTGGCTGTTCTCTCACCCCCTCATCCTGTGACAGTGGGTTGTTCACCACCAGGTCATGCTGGCCAGCAGCTTTGCGAGGGTTTGTAATATGCTGCAGTTCAAAACAAACGATCATGATTTAGTGTCACAACCTACCAAAGACACATAAATCACTGCCACGTACATGTGTGCACGCACATACCGTCTCTTTGATCTTCTCATACTGTGCTCTGTGCTCCTTGGTTCGACTGATCCATTGAGTCTTATCTTCTGATAGGACGTCCAGATAAAGCTGGAACCAACGAAAACAAAGCTCATAATTTTTTCTGCCCGTTTGGCACAGAAATCACACACTTAACCTTTCATCCCCAATAACAACAAGAAGACGGTTTTCATGCAGTAAACCTGTCATCTGCCACTGTCAGGTAGCCATTACCTTCCAGCATACGCTGCGGAATCGGCTGCTCCGTAATCGTCCGTTAATACCAGCCTGCCTGATCCGCGCCAGATAGTTACTGTTCTGGAACAAATCATCCCACTCCTTTCTGTAAAGAGCATGCCAAACAGAAAGTTAGAAGATAGAGATACACTTTCATCACAGCAGTGGGTTTCATATGAGAACCAGAGTATATTTCTGATGCTTTGTTACATTAGGGAAAAATGAATGACCTGTACGACTGAAACGTGGACTCAACAGCACTATCCAATGATCCTCCTGAAATTAAAGAAACAAAATTACAAAGCGAAAACAGTTAAGAGTCTTAAGACATCATAGTTTGTGACCTAAACATGGAAACGACTGAATTCTGAATAATTATCTTTTAGATAACAAGTTCATCTTTTTCATAGTGCAGTATAACACTAGGCAATATATTGTGTATTAATAATACAATCATAGTAATTTTTCTAACAATGTAATTACAAATCAAATACAAAATGCCTCCTTGTCTTGCTACTTTTAATGATGGCAGAGATGTTTCAATAGTGTTACTGATTTAAACATAACAAACATTAGATTTTATAAGAACTCTGAATAAGTTCAAGTGGTCCATGCAACTGAATCAATTCAAAACTCAAGTTTGCCTCTTCTGGCATTTTTCATACTTTCAAATATTTTAGTAAAAATAAACATAATATGTATATATGTAAATATACACTATTATTTAAAAGCTTGGGTTCAGTAAGATGTTTGTTTAGAGAAATTCATATTTTCATTCAGCAAGGATGCATTATATTGATCAAAAGTGACAGTAAAGATATTTACAGTATAATGTGACAAAGGGTGTCTATTTAAAGGGGTCATATGATGCTTTTTTTAAAGATCATTATTTTGTGTATTTGGTGTAACAGAATATGTTGACATGCTTTAATGTTCAAAAAACACATTATTTTTCAAATACTGTACATTATTGTAGGTCCTCTATGCCCCGCCTCTCTCAAACGCTTCGAAATGCGGTTCTTTTCAACTTTCTATTCATCAAAGAATCTCAAAGAGCACCAAATCAGTAAATTAGAATGATTTCTGAAGGATCATTTGAAATAGAATTTGAAAACATATTAAAATGAAAAACGGTTGTTTTAAATTGTAGTAATATTTTACAGTATTATTGTTTTTAACTGTAATTTTGATCAAATAAATGCAGCCTTGCTGAGCATAAGATACTTTTTTTCAAAAACGTACCCTACTCTTTTGAACAGTAGTGCAAGTAAAACAAGTCTGGTAATTACTATGTATTTTTATATTAGTTCACAAATGATTAATTAAATATTCCTGACTTCGTTTAGAGAAAACATGCCTTGATCATTTTCAGCTAGATTACCATGTTTTAGTATTCACTTTAAAAATGAATGCCAGGTGAAAGTGAAGAAAATACAACAGAATATAACAGAAGAATAATGATTCACAATCAAGTACAGGTAAACAGTGAGTGCAATGGAAACGGTTCCCTTTTTTACTCTGTTTAAGCCTGACTTTGATTCTGTGTGAACGACATTAGAGTTTCTACTGGCAGAAGAGCTTTTAGGAAAATAGAACTAAATTACTTACAAGTTTTTCGCATAATTTTGATCATGAGAGCTTTTTTTTGTTCTTACAATATATATGAGTTAATAGCAATAGTCAAAATACAATCTCAGTACTTAGCAAAATAAATGCAATACAAAATATGCAGTCCTACTCTTCACATTGTTAGGTCTCAAATTTGAATGTAGATCTATTAATGATCTTACGGTCTTTGTTCCTGTTGTAGTAGTTCTGTAGAGGGTCGTAACCCGTCTCCTGCTCGTCCTGCTGCAGCGGATGTCGTGTTTCGAAGTTTGGGTGCTGCATGTCCTGCAAAACCACAGAGGAAGAGCTAAAGACTGTGATATCAACATTCACCACTGAAGCCACGATCAACACTACAGTACAAAACGGGAACTACATTAGGTATTGTGTGGATACTCACTGTTAGACTCGCCTGGTTCTCCTCATAGGCCTGATCACAGTGGAGACCACAGTCCAGCACTAACCATTAATCTGACAAACAGCAGAGCAAAACAAATGAATAAACCGACAGAGCCTAAACTGACAATACTGATGGCTTACTTATAGTTGACTTTGCATATTAAACCATTGGATAGCATGAAGTATTTTAAAGGGACAGTCCACTCAAAAATTGTCATCATTTACTCCCCCTCATATCAATTCAAACTGCATGACTTTTTTTCTTCTATGGAACATAAAAGAATGTATTTTGAAGAATGTTTATAACCAAACTGTTTCAGGTTCTATTGACTTCTATAGTATGGACAAAAATATAATGGAAATCAATGGCAACAGAAACTGTTTGCTTACCAACATTTCTCAAAATATCTTCATTTATGTTCCACAGAAGAAAGAAATGCATACAGGTTTGGAAACACGTGAGGATGAACAAATGATGACGGAATTTTCCTTTTTGGGTGAGCTATCCCTTTAACATTGAAAACAAACAAATGTAGAATAGTACAATGGAAAAAAAAGGTAGAAATAGCTAAATGTCTTCATCATCAACTTTTCTGAACTGGTTAGGACAAAACCCAAATCAATAAGCCAGAGACACAGCAGCTTGTATCATGTCTGGTTAGTATACACTGAACAGATTGTGTTTGTTTGGATTAATTACATTGTTTCATTTTAGTCTAAACCATTTGGAATTAAATCCAAGTTTAGCTGCTAGTTCTGGCAAAGAATGTAAATGTATTTCACAGCCAAACTGTGAATTTCTTAATTCATGACAGCAACATGAATGAAGAGTGCCAGCAACTCAGTTCTTTAAATAATGTTTAATTGGACTGTGTATACAACTGTACCATCACCTCAGGATCATTATACAAGGCTCGAAATTGCGACCATTTTGGTCGCATATGCTCCCGAAATGTAATCTGTGCGACCTCAAAATATATTTGGGAGCCAGCAACACTTGCATTCATTTACCAGAATAACCAGCCGTGCTAACATTTGACCGATGTGCAGTGAATTAAAACACAGTCTTGACTCAAACAAAGAAAAAAAAGAGGCAAACAAAGGGCGCTCATTTGATCTGTTGTATATGTGGTATAATTGTTCTGCAGCACTGAGTGCGCGTGAGCAAACACACTGGTGGTGCCAAGCGCTGTTTGGAAGTGACTCCCAGACATTTATAAACCAAAAATATCCTAGCTCTGACAATCCAGAGCCAGACAGCGCTGATGTGACAGCATTAGGCTCTAAAAAGTGGAAAAACAGGCTTGTCTGGATTTCTTTCTTCTATTTTTAAACCTAAATCCATTCTGAACACACACAACCTCCAGCAAACGTCTTTTATCAATTATGCAGATGAACTAATAAACACTGATCTAACATCTCAGTACACCAAAAGACAGCCTGTGCAACTCATGCATTATATATAACTGTGTTATGTTAGATGATATATGAAGAAAAGCTGCCTAGGAAATTGCCATTGTGGGGGTGGGATGGTACAAAGAAACAAAATAAAATAAATTAAATTAAAAAGTTATTATTTAATTATATAAATTACATAAACAATTAAATAATATAAAAACAACTGTATTATTATTATTATTATTAATCAAAATAAAATATAGGCTAATAAAGTAATAACAACTGCATAAATATAAATACATAATATAAAAATAACTATTATTATTATTATTAAATAATCAAATAAAATCAAATAAAAAGTAACAAATATATAACATAATATAAAATAACTATATAATAATAATAATTATTATTAATAGTAATAATAGCATCCCTCTCCACTGATTCAAATGTTTGTTTTCTGTCCAAATAAAAATGTTAATAAATCATAAGTGGCAGATTTCAAATGGCATAAGCTAACAGATAGCTTTCTCCGTGTATTATAGACCTCCTTGGCCCAGCTCAATTAGATTTATGCATTAGCTGTGGTACAGTGGGAAATCCCAGGATCCTCTGCAGTGAAGTACAGTGCTGGAAATTAGCATAAAGCCTCAGGGACCACTAGAGGTATGATTAAGTCAAGCCAGACACATGGATAATAATTAAAATATGCTAAACACAACAATAATAATGAACTGGACCTGCAAGATACCTCAGCAGCCTCACACAAAGGAATTCAACTAAGACATTCACCAAAAAGATTATTAAGTAAAACTAGTAAAAATAGAAATAAAAATACAGTAGCTCTCTGTAATTAGATGTTGGGTTGGTGTGGCATAAAAATGTTGCCTTAATGTTCAGTTTGTTTCTAACATTGCAACTACAGCATTTACTGGCACAGCTGCAGGCTAAAGGCAGCGCTGATGCAATCACTCCACAAATTAATCTTTGCATATTTCATTAGATATTCACATAAGCGCGCGCACACACACACACACACACACCACATGCATAAATATTTATCACTGCATGTGTGTCTGTATGTGCTTATATACATGCATAGTCAAGGAGACAAGCTTGATTAGAATTAGGGCTGAATATATTTTTGTATATAATTTTGATTTAGCTAAGATTAACATGGCATTGTCTCCATTTTAATACATTAGGATTGAAAAAGGCTAAAGACTACATGCAATCCTTAAATACTGTGTGTGTATTTGAGATAAAGTAATGAGGAACCGAAAAAACACTACTGTGAGAAACCTGTGCTAAACCAAAATTAAGAAACGAAACAAACACAACTCACTACAGTAACTGAAACTAGGAAAAAAGTAATTTGCATACATAGAAACGCTAAAGGGAAGTTACTGTAGACTAGTAAATACAAAATTATTTTGAACAGTATTTTGTGAATTTTAGGATCACAAAATAATCCACCAAACGTTTAAGGAGTTCCATGAGACAAAACCCAGCTCATTACATCAAAACGCCCGTGGGTGCAGCACACACTAATAAGGAGGGTTACAGAAGCAAACCAGGCCTAAACCTGTTTAAACACACTCGCGTGCCTTCACTTCATCAGCCCTTTACAGAACAGAGCTCCTGCACCAATCACATGACAGCAGCTTGTAGGAATTCTATGAGCAACTGGGTGAACTCAAAAACCCTACGTTATCATTAGTGCAGAATATGCTTGGTCATAATATTAGGGCAGAATTAAATTAAGAAAAGAATGTGCACATGTTCTGGTTCTGTAATATGCATGTATTCACAAACAATGATAACCTGAAACCTTTCAAATATTACAGGACTAAGAGTACAAATTTATTCAAACAAGAATTAACCAAAGGCTGTGAGCTAATTGTAATCTGACATGGTTTGTATGCATTAAATACTGCAGCATGACAGGCGTTTAACTCAAACGTCACCAAGTGTGTGTGCGCGAGTATGTGTGTGTGTGTGTGTGTGCAAGTGTGAAAACAGTCAGCAAGCTGGTCTTGTGATGCCATGGTAAGTCTTTTTCTGTTGTTCAGACTATGTGGCCTCAGGTCCAAAGAGAATCATATACTCCTCCAAAGATCATGCTGTCCTACTTCACAACTACATTATAATGTTACATAAAACTTATTAAGCAAAAATATTAAAGGAAAAAGAGGAATCATGAAATATCAAATCCTCAA